CTTAGGATCCTTGCGGACGATCGACTCCACCTCCTGCAGATCCTCCATCGTGATCAGAGGCTGCACGCCAGGTGTGTGCTTCCACTCGACGACTTGCTCCTTCTCAAGGTCCACGATACCATCGTAGACCTTGCCACCGGGCGCGATGGCAACCACGTCTGCCATACGGACAGGACGAGGGGCCTTCTGAGGATCCGCCAACCAGGCCATCATCTCGACCTTGCGGGGCTCGTAGAGCGTGACCGCATTGAAGTTGACTTTGCCATGCTCCTTGCGGATCAGGGCCACCGCGGTATCTATTTCCGATGTCGAAAGAGGATCGAGGGGGTGAGGAGGAGGCGCGGTGGCCTTGACATGGTGAGCCAATTGTTGCAAACGGTCGAGAACCATGATGTGTGGAGTTGTCAAAAGCAAAGGTGTGCTCGTCAGTTGCGTCTTCGTGAGATCCGGAAGGTCGAGGAGTGTAGAACTATATGTGAGAAAGTGTGGGGTAGAGCCGGGAGATTATCACAGCGGCGGATGCTGGAGAGAGCAGACACAGACACAGACACAACCAGCACAATCTTGTGAGACTCTTTTGTTTCTCCCACATCAATGAAGGGCGAGCCCAGTGGGTTTTAATACAAACCGTGTCCAACAGCCAGCTGCACGAAGGGTAGGATCGACTGAGTGACTTCGTTCCGGAGGAACGATAACAGCAGCGGTGTATACGATAAGCGCATGGAGAAATCATGGATGCATCGCCGATAAACCCAAGGCCCGGATCCCTTTTCCCAACCCAGTCTAGCGTCCGATATGTGGCCGAGGCAGCCGAAAGCGGAAATGAGAACCTGAGCGAGCCAGACTCAGCATTCGCATGCTTTTACCCAATGCTTCACTTGGGGGGGGATGAGGGGTTGATAGTACCGACCTAGTAGTAATCACACATAGTAATTCAATGCGATCTGTCAAACCCCCCTCCCCGCTCTCTCCACCTATCGCATCCCCTCCCCCCATAGTCCAGTCCAAGTAGCTAAACGGAGCTGGCAAACCTCCAGGTGACACATATCGGAATCTGTCAATTCAAACTGGAACTTATCTCTAACAATTCCAATCCCCTTACGTATATTGATGAGAAGCCGATCAGGGATCCCATCGCATCGCATTGCTCCCACAGCAGATAAGTCTCGGAAACGCCACCACAACACCAACAAAGAAAAAAAAAAAGATGATCATATTCCAGCCGTAAGAAGAACACCATACACCCTTGCAGAAACCCCACCTCCAAGACTATACGAAGGCACTTCAGGCGATGAACTCCATGGACGAACCGAGAGAGCAAACTAGCGACACAAACGAACAAGGAACAAATGCACCAAGAAAGCACAACCGATGCCACATGCTATGTACATCCATCAAATCGTTGAGGGGTTCTTCCCATTCCTCCCACCAGGTACAGACCAGCTAAAAAGAAAATAAGGCAAAGACAAACCAGAAAAACTCAGCTTAGACATCAGTGGTTTGCAAGCACATATGTGTCCACCAAATCGAAGAACCCCTTGGAAGTCGCGGTACAACGGATGGATGAAGATTATCGTGGGCCGAGTGTAGGTTCCTATACAGAAACAAGAAGGAGAGAGAATGACATGTTCGGGCGGATTGCGAAGGCGAAATCGTAAACCTCTGCGCACCTGGCTCGAATGCCCTGAAAAGGGTAGGGGGGACGATCCGGACCGCCGATCAAAGAGCACCAGAATATCCTCAAGATTTGGCAGCCTGGAACTGTGCCAATACACCGCCGGTACCACCGGGAGTCATTGCGTGTGGTGTTTGGCTTCCGCCGATGTGACCAGCGTTGGGGGTGCTGGGGGTGCCTGTGGCCGAGTAGATGGTGGCCCCATTGAGGTTGGGGGTCTGGTGAGGTTGCATGTGGTACAGCAGTGCTGGCATCTGGCCGTTCAAGCCCCAGATTTGCCCGGAGTATTTCGAGTCATCGATGCTGCCGCCGAAGACCAGCTGGCGCATCTTCCAGTAGATCTCGCCGGTGACGAGGGAGTCGGACCCAGCCTGGTGGGCGATTCCCACCCGCTTGACGCCCAGCTCGTCCGCAATGTCTTGAAGACCCGACTTCTGACCGAGGTTCGTCAAGATCTGGGCCGCGGCCGGCGTCAAGGGAATGTCGTTGACAGCCTGGTTGCGCCCGGCGTGCTTCATCAGGTACTTAATATCGTACAGCGACGGGAAGAAGATATTCAGTAGCTTGTGGAACTCCTCCTCGTTCTCCGGCAGCGGCTTGCAGAGCATGATCTTCATCAGGTAGCCGAAATCGTAGCCGGAGTGGAACGAGACCCAGTGCACGTCGTCCAGCAAGACCAGCCCCGAGCTGATCAGGAGCGCGCCAAACTCGAACGGATCGATGCCATTCTTCTCGTGGCTCCCGAAGTCAATCCCCGCCTTGGCCAGCATCGCCGTCGACTCCTGGGCGTACATATCCTCCTCCAACGAGAACCGGAAGTTGAACTGCCATGTGCAAGGGGCCGGGACGAGGCTGTTGCCGAGGGGCTGACCATTGGCGTCGGTGGCATTCGGGGGCGGGACCTCGCCCTCGGCGGAAAACAGGGTGATGCCGAGTTGGATCATTTTGAGGAGGTCGACGTTACACCGGAGGGTTTGGTAGTGGTAGTCTGCTTTGTTGGTGAACGCTCCGATCGGGCGTGCGACGATGCCGGGAAATTCGGTGTCCTGTGACAATAGTTTTGCGTTAGCTTATACACACTAGTTGCAATGCGCGCGATAGGACAGAGAGTGGTAAGCGCGTTGTAGGCTAGAGCGATGACTGCGCACCCGGGTGCCGTTCCGCCCACATCCACAGCCACATTTTGGGTAGAGTCATAAGCGCCTTACCATGCTGATGTACGGGTACTTCTCCACGAACTGCCGCAGGATGGCCATCTCCTGAGCCAGGTTGCTGCTCCATACATCACGGATCCGCGTCTTCACGGCGCCGCCAGCCTTGGCCTCGAGCGCCAGCCGCCCGTCGTGAGCCTGATGTAATTGCTGCTGTTGCATCTGCGCCCCGCGGGCGAAGCCCATCTGAGCCGCATGGCTGGCGAGCCCAGTACCGCCTGCATCGGCGGCGCCTCCGCCAAAGCCTGCCACCGAGATGCCATTTGCAATGCCGGAGCCGGACAGGGTGAATGGGTTGATGTTGGTATTGGGGTTCCCGGCGGCGAAACCCGGGTGACCACCGAGGGAGGGAGGAGGGAGAGCGGTGTTGGCGGATTGGGCGTGGACAGGGTGATGTTGTTGTTGCTGTTGTTGTTGTTGCTGCTGTTGTTGCTGTTGTTGTTGTTGGGCCGCCGCGACCGCTGCTTGCTGGTGTTGCTGCTGAAGATGGGCCTGCTGCAAGTGGGTATATGAAGAAGCGCTCAGGCCAGCAGGCCCGTATCTGCCGACAGGAGGTGGCATTATCGATGTGAGAGCACGGGGGACTGATCAACCGTCATAAATCGGTGTCGAAGGCGAGGAACTAGGATGATAGCTGTAAGGATAAAGAGTAACAAGGGCGAGAAGAGCACGAGTGTGGCGGCGGTGGTGGGTTTAGTGAGCGAGTAGGATCGGACCTTTTTCGCAGTTTGGGGGACGAGGACGGACGGAGTGCGGTGGGAGGAGTGAGTGGAAAGGCGGACAACGGAAGCAGAAGAGAACCTCACCTCACCTCCAGACTCAGACTCGGGAGCTACAGACTCGTCCCATTCCGGACTAGCGCGCCAAGACCCAGGCCTTCTCTCCCTCGACTCTCTCTCTCACACTGTGCAGTTGCACGTACAGCTTCAACTTCCCTCCCGTCTCCCTCCACTGAACAATCTCCTTCTCCTCCAATTGCCACGCCACAACCCGCAGACAATTGTTAAACTCTGCACCTCCCGATTCCGCCCGCACCCAATCCTTTCATCCCACTGAGTCACCCCCCCAGAATCCAACACAATGGCCCGTACCAGCCCCACCGGTTTCGACATCAACGAATTTAAGGCCGCCGCCCACCCCCGGTCGACCTGGGCCAAGAAGGACCCCTGGGCTCGCTAGTACGACCGTTGCCCTTGCTATGACAACATCACCGATTCAATCATCTTTACTAACGCAGTGCTTAAACAGTGAGACTTGGAGATACACCGGCCCCTTCAGCCGCTGGAACCGCTTCAGGAACCTCTTCCCCGGGCTCGGCATCGCGACCGTCGCCTTCGCCGGCTACTGCGCCTACGAGGCCGTCTTCCTCAAGGACGACCACCACCACGGCGGTCACCACGACGAGAAGCACCACTAAAGCGTCCCCAATTCCAGCATTGTCACGATGAGCGGGTTTCGGTTCGGAGTTGTTGAGTTTGGGACAGGCGGGCGAGTCGATACAGAGCGCCGCGCACAACTCGGTATTGAAAGTCTCGGAGTCGAACCGGAACTAGCTGCGGGGGTGGTGACGTGATAAGAAAAAAGGAACTGGGCAAAGGGGGTCGGGGGATAGAAAACGGATACCCGAATGCACCGGATTGTCACGGAATCTGTTATTCTGGAAGGAGGGAGGACAAGTTTTGCGCTGGTTTTCTTTTGCGACTGGGATGATAAACCGTGTGTGAAGTTTGAGGATTGCGTGGGCTTTTCTAGAGGGATGGAAAGCGGGACTATCTGATATTTCTGTCTATATTCAGAAGTCTCCTGCCTTTGGGCGGTAGAGATGAGTGACTTGCAGCTCTTTCTACGTGACAACAAGGGCGCTTGCGTGGGATGAGGCGGGGAGATAGGTTATGTACATAGATATCATGTTTCAAATTCTGTTTTTTTTTTTTCGTTTTTCTGTGTTAGCAATATGTAAGATCGGAGACTTGTCTTTCAATTGTCGGTCAATGGCTTGATTGTGAAACAGTGTTTTTGAAAATGGTAAGTAGATGATTGATACGGCTATTGTCGTCACTAAAGTAAGGGAACCCTCGGCACAGCCAATTGTTTATCAAGCATTGGTCATCAGATATCATTCATATAAAATTAGAAGAACCCCAACCATCCCCGATCCAAACACGTTGCACATGTCTATACATGACTTTTCCAGTCTAATCATATCATGCAAAGCAAAAAGGAACCAAATACATAAAACTACTCCTCGAAAACCAAGGAGATGCCATCATCACCCGCCGTAACCACCCGCTTACCATCCAGGCTCTGCACAAACGCCATGATACCGCCCGACTGCTCGCCCTCGGAGTTTTCGATCAGGCCCAAGTGACCCTTCCACTCCTTCAGGAGACCGTGCGCAGCGGCCGCGGTACCACCACGGGCGTCCCACCGTCTCACGATGCCGTCCATGCCGACAGTCGTGAGCAGCCACGACTGGCTCTGCGGGGCCGCAGCCCCGGGGCGGGGAGGCGCGGAGCCAACGCCGGGGCGGTTCTGCAGAAACTCAACCTTGACGACGGCGCCCTCGTGGGCCTCCCGGATGTGCCGGCGGACGGCGAAGCGGTGTGCGGCGTCGAAGAGGGCGATCGAGCCGTCGACCGACCCGGCCGCGAGGAGGGTCAAAGGTGGGGAGGAGAAGGATAGGGTCTCGACGCCGTCGGACTGCGCCTGTAGAGAGGCGAGAAGCGTGCCGGCCGCCGAGGCGCCGGTCTGCGCCTGCGACGCCGCCTTGCCCTTGGCCTTGCCGGCCGCGGCACCGCCCGCAGCCGCCAGACGGGGGAGACCGACGACCTTGATGTGGCCCTCGGCACCGCCGACGGCGGCGATGGCACCACCGGGGGAGATGGCGATGGAGTACAGGCCGCCGTCGACGGCGAAGCGCTGGTCCTCGGGGGTCAGGCCGACGACGGTGCTGGTGCCGGCGGCAGAGGCAACCCCGGCGGCCGCGGCGACGCCAAAGACGTCGTAGACGTAGAAGCTACCGTCCTCGGAGACGGTGCCCAGCAGGTTGCCGTCGGGGGTCCAGGCGCCTGCGGTGCAGGAGGCAGTGTGCTGGAAGAAGGTCTGGATGATGGAGATGGGCTGGGCGGCGTCGGTGTGGTCGATGCGGAAGACCCAGGCGCTGCCGTCGTTGGCGCCGATGGCAACCACATTCTTCTTCTCCTCGTCGCCGTTCACGTTGGGGCACACGGCCAGCCAGTTGATCTCCTCGACTTCCTGCGTCTCAGCGACCAGCTCCCACGCGACGCCCGTGAGTTGGGGTGTGGAGTCCCGGTAGGCGCGCAATTTGCCATCCAAGCCGGCCGTCACGACGTACTCGCCCTTGGGCTCGGTGAAAGCAACAGCATTCACGGTATCGGTGTGGCCGACCAGCTGCGCCAGCGGCTGCAGGGACTCGCGCTCTTGTTTCGGTTGCGGGTTGGATTCGTAGCTCTGAGGGAGGAGGGGGCGCGCGGCATTTGGCGTTGAGTCGAAGATGTAGGCCTTGTCGTCACCGGAGCCGGTGATGACGATCTGGTTGTGGACGGGGTGCTGCGCGATGCAGAAGACCGAGTCGGTATGGCTGTCGAAGTGGGCGGCGGAGTCGTTCTCCAATGTGATCTCTTGTTCTTCATAGGTCATGGGCTGGTCCTCGTCTTCGCCATCGGACTCCATGGGCTGATCTTCATCGCGGTGGAAGATTTCCTCGGCCTCGTCGGCCTGGATGTAGGCGTCATCGGCCTCACGGTGTTCTTGGGAGGACATGATATAGTATGCGCTGGGGGTATAAAGTATGAGGGTGCGCAACACAATAAAAAAATAAGATAGAGACAAGGAAGTAAGGTCTGTTCCGCGACGGTCAAGGGAGGTAAAGAGATAAAGGAAATTGCAATGGGAGGGAAGAGGCAAGAAGTGAGTTGAGTAGGAGCAACTTATTTTTTTCATGAATTCTCCCGGTCAACCACCCCGCTTAGAAATTCATTTGTTCCCCGCGATCCAGCCAAACACTGCAAACATCCACTGAAAGTTGCCCCGATGGTTTCTAAGCCGGCGGAGAAGGAGCCAGATCTTTCCGAGTATGTACTACACTATGTACAAGTATGTAGTACCTCATGACTGAATTGGCATTGTGAATTACTCAATTGTAAAAGATGTATCGAAAGAAATATCTACACATGACCACGTATCTAGTGATGTCTACCTCGCAACTTTCAGGATAGCTTCAAGCGCACACGAAGCTCAAAGTCTCGAGCCTGCCTGTCTGCGGGCCTCCTTCTCCTGGTCGCGCAACAAACGGCGCAAGATCTTGCCACTGGGGCTCTTGGGGATGACATCAAGGAAGCGAACCCCACCTTTGAGCCACTTGTGCCGGGCCTTGTGCTCCTCGACGTGCTTCTTGATCGACTGAATCACGTCCTCATCACTGCCCGTGGCGGACGGGGACCTCACTACGATCGCCTTGGGGACCTCGCCAGCGGAATCGTCAGGGATCGCGATCACAGCACAATCCGCCACGGCAGGGTGCGTGAGAAGATGGGCCTCCAGCTCAGCCGGCGCGACTTGCAGACCCTGTGCAGATGCGACACGTCAGCGGCCATGGTGCATGATAGCATATGCAAGGGGCGAAAGCATTGCGCAACTTACTTTGACTTTGATCAACTCCTTGATGCGGTCTACAATGAAGACGTGCTCCGTTTTCTGAGGGCTCAAGCGGATCACGGCCTCGTCGCCCGTATACATCCAGCCGTCTTTGAATGTTTCCTTGGTGGCTTTGTCGTTGTTCAGATACCCTAATACAACGCTAGGGCTGCGGACGACAAGCTCTCCAGGAGTGTCGTAGCTTGTAATCTCTTCGCCTTCTGGTGTTACTATCTTGGCCTCCACCCCCGGCAGGATCGTGCCGGAGGAGCCGAACCATACATCCCAAGGATGCGTGGAGGTGACAACCGTCGATGTTTCCGTCAAACCTAGTATCATGTGTTAGAATACGGAGAATGCCGCAGAGTGAGCTTTCTTACCATATCCTTGTCTTATCGTCACCGAGGGATAAAGCTTCTGGAACTCTTCGGCGGTTTCCATCCCCAGCGGCGCAGCCCCCGTGAAGACGGATCTGACGGCAGTGAGATCGTATTTGGCGCAAGTCTTCGCATTGCGGATCATGTTGATCAGAATCGGAGGGACCTATACAGCGTTGTGGTCAGCTTGCGGAGGCTCGTGGTCTCATTCGCGCATCATCACTCACCACAAACAACGAAGTGATCTTGAAATCCTGGATACAAGCCAAGAAGGAATCGAGTTCAAATCGGGGCAGCACCACCACATTATCCCCTCTCCACGGACCAGCGTGACACATCACCACGAGGGAGTAGATATGGCTCTGCGGGAGCAAGCACATCACGACATCGGTCGGTTCACTTTGCGTTCCGGGATCCTTGCGCGAATCGCGGTAATCCTGCTCGAATGCTTTGATCTGTAGTACGTTGGCGATCACATTGCGGTGTGAGATCATGACTCCTTTCTGCAAGCCACTCCAACCGTTAGCCCCCATGTCTGTTTCTGCATCTGGGTCAATGTCTGCTAATCGCAACCACCTACCGGCAATCCGGACGTGCCACTCGAATAGCACAGAAATGCCGTCCGACGAGCCCCCTCCCCGGGGCCCCAATTCAAGGCTGCAACTTTCGGCAATGCCTTTCCTGCTTCAATCAAATGGTCCACCGTCTTGAACTCGGCTGGAGCCTTGGCTCCCGGGATGAGTTGCGCGGGCACCTCGAGCAAGAAGATGCGATCCCTGGGGAGACCGGCAGCATCGGCAGCTTCCAGCGCCGTCTTCAACAATGGCAAACATGTGAAGAGCACGGTGGCTCTGGAGTCCTGCAGCTGATATTTGAGTTCGGCGGCCGAGTAGGCCGCGTTAGCGGGGCTGGCCACTCCACCCAGTCGATGCACGGCCCAGGAAAGCGTCAATGTATCGATCTAAGAAGGAGCAGCAATCAGTGTCAGCTACCTCACAAATCTCCACCCACGGGATTGACGTACGGTATTCACACTGAAAATCGCCAAGGTCTTATCCCACTCGCTGCCTGCATTGGGCTGCCAGTTGAATCGGCTCGAGAGCGAGCGTGCCAGATATTCGACGCGATCTACCACATCCAGCCATGAATAAGTTTTACCGGTGACTCCACAGGTAAAAGGATTCTGCGAGTAGCCGAGAGGGTTGCGGCCGTGGAGATCGGTGAGCATGAACTCGGCGAGGGAGATACTGTCGGGGATGGGCGACAATTTGCCGGCCGATTTAGGGGGACCGAAGACCATATTTCTGGTTTCCTTCGGGGGTATTGGCTGGTGGGAAGGGGGGTAATTAGGGGGACTTGACGAGAGAGAGAAAAGAAATTAAAAGATGAGCTAAATGGACGATGGGGAGAAGGAGCAATAAGTAAACGGGCCGGGGAGGGTCTTGCGGGGAAAGCTTCTCCTTATCGGCGGGAAAGCCGAGGCTTTTTGTGTAATTGGGATGGATGGATGGCTTTGGTCCAATTCGCAAGGAACCGGTTGGAGACCGGGTCATACCCATGGACGGTGATTATCTGATGTGGTTGAGAGTTTCCATAAGGCCTGCTCCAGATGATGGATAATAGCCTAGATTGTGCACCGCAATGCTCCTAATAGCAAACATCTAGAAAGACTGTAGTATGCAAAGTACTGTACAGGAATTCGGTGTTGGCGAAATAACCGAGGCAGCCCGTTGTTGTTGTGGTTGTTGTGGGGAGCGTCTTTGCATTCCCCGCATTTTGGGTTAGCCGGCCGAGGGGGAGGAGAGAGTTGTTGGAAAAATGGAGAGAGATCGCCGCTCCCTATTTTTGGGCCCTGCACCTTCTCAAAGTCTTGGTCTTACTCTTCCTCCTCATCATGCTTCACAACCAAGCAGTTGCATACCCATTCACCACGGCAAGCTGTAGTCTCGACCTCAATGGTAATGAGCAGGTCATGACATCAATGAATGCGGATGCGAATGCGGAAATCGAGCTGCCACCGTTACATCCTCCTTTACTTGCCGGTCATGCCCCCGACCGTTGCGATGATCGTCAAATCATTCACTAACCCAGGTTAATCCTTCGCAGCATGTTCGGCCTTTTTTTTTTCCCCTACGCAGATACTATTCTCATTCACCACGAGTATCGAACAAAGCGATCACATCAGCGACAGCAGCAGACACACCTCAATGAATTCACCAAGGCCCGTTGCGAACCATCAGCCCACGCATTGCTCTACAATATAAGGTTGACATAAATCTCCTTGACGCGATCGTCTTCATCAACCTCCATCTCTACGACGCAAGAAATCAGCTATATCTCCTATATTCCTCATTAATAATCCCACCAGCAAACCTACCGCATCGAACAAGACAACCACTTCATGGATCGCTGCGAAAACTGCGGCGGCGAGGGCCATTCCACCAAGGAGTGCCCAGTTCCGCGCTGCTACACCTGCCTGAAGCTGGGCCACATCGCACGCGCCTGTCCCGACCAGATCTGTCGCAGCTGCCATCAACGAGGCCATGAGGCGCGAGATTGCACGGAGGCGAAGCAATAAGGCATGCACCACCAGAAGCGTGTGTTCCTCTGGCAAATGGGGCTGACATGCCGGTCAAAATGACAGATATTTCAGCTTCGAGTTTCAGGTTGCAACCAGGCTTGGACCCGGTTCGATGGTTTTGTGTGGATCGGAGAATATGGGATAGACTGGAGTCGGGCCGCATTGGTTTCGGTTTCGCAGACGCTCGGTTTGACTCGCTTGGAGACAGCAAAGTATTTGGACACTCCCCGTAATATCTGTGTGCGTTACTCTTCGTGGGGCTTGCAAAGTTCGAATCTAGGTTTGAGTTTCGAAACTTCTTGGATGCATTGCTATTAGGGTATGGAAGAAATGCTTGCCAATAACCGGGGTCGCTCCCTTTGCCAATGAGAGTAACGAACGTGATCAAGTAGTAGAATCTTAAACGGCCAAGTCTTTACACTACCTAGTAGGCCCTGCCTAGAAGGAATCAGCTTGAGATATTGTACTTTCTAGCTCGAGAGGCGTACCATGAGTGCTGTGCGCAAGAACTTGCTCGAAGCCTAGTCAAAGTTCATCGAACCCTGGTAGACACAGGAGCCGCGACCATTCCAACAAGAAACCTCACCAGGCACAGGCACTAGGATCTATGGACAAGGCCTCATAATACACAAGTAATCGTTTCTTTTTCGCTGAAAAGCTCTCATCCTGCCCGACAACGACTTTTGCCTAGCCTAGGTACGCCGCCATAAACGAGAGGAACACAGCAAGCACCTCGACAAGAAAAAAAAAAAAAACCCCATAACTTGCACCTCGCTTAACCAGCAATGCAATCATACCACCTATCAAAGACGGGCTAACCTTCGGGCTAAGCATTTCTGACGCGGGGAACCTCTTTACTACATCATTCCACGCGGGGATAAAATCAACCACCGCCTGACAGGAACAAACAACTCAACCGGGAAGCTTCTCATTCCCCCCTTGCGTACCGTACCGGATAAAAGCCACGCCTGCAGCATCTTCCCAGCTCAGACTTGGGTCGATTTTCCGCGAACCAGAAGCGATCAACATGATTGAGTTACCCGCTATTGAACCATGCTGCAGACAGTTTACAAGCTGCGGGGGGGGGGGGGAGCCAGCTATACCGCTCCAGCACACACCCATACACACCGGATGCGGCATCCGCAGCCGGCTAAATAGGGAGGATCCCGACCATCCGCGAACACTTTTCCCACTGTTATGATGCACACATTCGACGAAAAAGGCGGAGAGAGACGCTCGATGAGGGAAGTGAACTAGAATATAAATACACTCAGCGCTGGTGACCGAAGTTCCTGAACTCTAATCTCCACCTCCAGCATTCTTGTTCTCCCCTCCATCACCATGCGACAAGTGCTACTACTACAACTACTCTTAGGGCTAAAGGCATCCGCCTCCTCCGGCTGGGGGCCGCGGAAATTCACCACTCTAGTCACCTTTGGGGATAGCTACACCGACGATACACGATTCTCATACTTCTCAACACATAATGACTCCGCTCCGCCGGTGGGATGGGTCGAACCGGACGTAGGTTGACATCCATGAACCCCCCCCCCCCCCAAATCTTCACCTCCAACACAAATTAACCCACAAGAAAAGGCCAACATCTCCTCCTCCGGCGGCCCAACCTGGCCGCACTATGTCTCGACCTTCCACCCGACCACCAAAAACCGGTACAACTACGCCGTCGCCGGCGCCACCTGCTCCAACGAGATCATCGCGCGCGCCTACGACCCCACGGCGGGCTACCTGTTCCCCTCCGTGCTGGACTACGAGGTGCCCGCCTTCACCGCGGACGCGGCCTACACCGACCCCGCCACCAACCAACCCTTCTTGAACCTCGCTGCCGACGAAACCGTCTACGCCATCTGGATCGGCACCAATGATCTCGGGAATAATGCCTTCCTCACGGACTCGCAGCTCAACAATGCCACGCTCGTGGATTATCTGGATTGTGTGTACACGGCGTTGGATGGGGTGTACAACGCTTCGTCGGGTGGCTCGGCACGGAAGGATAAGGGGGGCAGCAGAGCAGCGAAGTACTTCGTGATCATGAATGTGGTGCCGCTGCAGCTGGCGCCGTTGTATGCGACGCCGGACAATGGCGGGGTCGGGCCGAATAACTACTGGAAGGATAAGCCGGCGAATCTGACGGAGATCAGTGGCCGCATGGAGGGCCAGGTCGTGTTGGTGAATGAGGCGTTTCGGTATCGCACGCCCGTCGAGGTGTTGGTCAAAAAGCGGTGGCCGGGGGTGCAGGTGGCGGTTATGGATGTTTATTCTTTGGTGAGTTTTCTTCTCTTCTTGGGTGGAGGTTGAGGGGGGAGGGGAAAGGGAGAAGATTGTTTGGGGGGGAATGTGGTAGTGCAATGGGTGAAGTTGAGTGCTGATGCAAAGTCTCAGATCTCCGAGATCTATTATAACCCCACACAGTATCTGAACGGCACTGCGCCGGCGAATGTCACCGGATTCGAGTATCATTGCAATATCAATGGAACAGACTGTATAAGATCGGACAGTCCGGATTCGTTCCTGTGGTTCGACCAACTGCATCCATCCGCGCGGACGGATCAGATCATCGCGGAGGAGTTTATCAAGGTGGTGAGCGGGAAGAGTCGGTTTGCCGAGTATTGGTCGTGAAATGGGGTGAAAGAAGTGCCAACAGTTCGGTTTAGATGTGACAATGAGGAATGAGCTTCGTTTTTGTTTGCTTGCTGCGCAGCAAGTGATGCTGATTACCTAACGCAGCTGCTTGATGACTGCGTGAAAGTCCCATTTGTCTCTACGGTGGTCAAAGAAAAAGTAGTCTACGTTACTCAACTCGTATTCGGTTAGCAAGTTTGGAATTGAACTATGATAAGTGACGAAATGATAGAGTGGTAGTACGAAGGAAATCTACCGAAAGAGAATGCTGGTGCAACTGATTAAATTCAGTAGATACCTGCATATTGCAATCTCATGCCCCCCAGATAATACACTCAATTGTTCCCCGATACCTTACGGACCACCGAAATATCCAAGTGAAAGAGACAGGGTTCGAGCATCGAAGAAAGATCGTGTCCAAACTCCGTTGCTTCGATCTCCCAACCAGTGACACCAATTGGATCCAATTGTAGATGCATGCTGTGATGGCTAATGAAGCCAGGCATGTGTCATGTATCAGTCCACACGAGTCCTCTTCTGCGGTCGACCACCCAGGTTCAAATTGGCAAAGGTGCTTGTATCCAACCCGGGCGCCGTATGCTCCTTGATGATGTTACGAATTGCCTCCGCGATGCCCCGCGCGATAGGTGGCGGAAACGATGCAATGATCTGAGAGCGAAGGGCCTTGTCCGCACCGTAGAAGATGTAACCATCGGGAAACCCCTGGATGCGAGCGCATTCGCGGACCGTGAGAATATCGTGACGAGCTATGCCAGTTAGCTTTGAGCCATCCACGACGCAACGGCAACTTACTAGGGTGCAGCCAGCCGTGATCGCTGTAAAGTGTTGGCAAGATGATCTTGCTCTGGAAGTCGACGGTTTCAAAGTACGGCTTGCCAGCCGCATCAGGTAGCTGGCCGGTACCATGGTTGTAGACATTGGCCTGACCCGCAGGATTCAAGAATACATGTATTCCTGCCGTAGGGTGTTCATCATCCGCCCGAGGGTTTGTAGACTTGAGATCGCCGATCTGTTCTTCGATGCTCTTTGTGTCAAGGTGGGTCGCAGGCCAAGGGAAGTCAGAGCAGATGGGTGAGGAAAGCAGCACAACATATGTCTGGCTGTTCGAGATCCCATGATCTGGTAGGCGGACGCTGAAAACATGCACCGAGTGTCGTTTCTTCAGGAGTTCGAGAACAGCCCTTGCAAATGAAGGAAGGTACTGTGAATGCAGGATTCCTACTGGCTGTATGCAGACCAGAAAGTCAAAGTTGTCCTCGCTGGCATTAGTTCATCAATTATGTTCAGGAAGGGCAGCTCAAAGTCGGGGTCTTGACCACTTCCGATGATCAATGGCCCAGTCTCCGAGAAAATCAGAACTTTCGGAACGCCAGCTTTCACATCCTGAGGAGGCAGCAACTTTCCACGTCTCAGGTGCGAAAGAACGGACGGCGGACTCTCATCATAAGTAGTTGCTGTAGGATACCTGGTCTATCATCGTGATTAGAGTTAGCGATGAGTGTGGGTGGGGTCAGATCTGGAGGTTGCAAATTTACCTTCCAAGTCATGTCCTGTTCCGAGTTGAATCCCAAACCAGCGATGATGTCAAATTCAGCCTGGGTAAAACCTTCAGCAAGTCCTAGATCCCGTGGACTCAGGTCAATGACAATTGGCTTGGACGGCGCATAACGAGGACGTTTCCAGCGATATTGACGTGAAAGAAGCCCGGAACTAAGTGGCGTGAAGCAGGCTGAATTTCCATTGCTTTTATCACGAATGGCAAACCGACAGAAGTAATGAGTACCGTCCGTTTCTGTACGCTTGATGTGCCGTGGCTTTCGATACCTGCTTATCCGCCATGGAAACATCCGCACACTCATAATGCTTGTTTAGCAGGTCCGTATATTTTTGAACGATGCTTGCTCCGCCATTCTCAATGGCAGCCGCCCAAATTTTGGTCACTAACAGGGCTTCCTCCTCTGGACTCGCTAGACTCTGTCGTTCACGATTTGTTTCTCCTGCCAAGAGATTGTAGCCGTACCAGAATTCCCTTCCTTTTGACCCAGGACGTGAAAGTAGAATACCTTTGAGGTACATGCGGTCTTTATATTTCCCACGATCCAAAATAAGATCTCCATGATCAGTTTGAATAATGTTCTGGGGTGATGGCATGTCCAGCTCCAAGGCCACGCGTCTCCACTGCTGAAACTCGTCTAGAATGACTTTCACCCCACTGGCACCTCGCCCTTTCGTGATGAAAACCGACACGTCTTTTGAAGGGTCGCTTATGAGATCACCTGGTTTGTTAGGACGGCAAGTCTGCTTTTTCTTGGCTAACGTAGCCGGGGATATCGGCGAGAGCTTGCAATACATCCGAGACTTGCACGCGCCTCTGAACCCGAAGTTGAAATTGTACTTGCTCGAGACCATCTGCACACGGAACCCTTTGCGACGGAGAACTAGAGCAGCAATCTTGAGACCCTCACCATGCTGGCCAGCTAACGATTTATTGTCGCCTTGCTTGGTTGTCCCTCCAAAGTCCAAGTCCCGGGAGGTCAACCGCGCGTCAAAATTGCTCAGTTCAAGGCCGCCAGTTCGTTTCTTGTGGATGATATAGCCCAATAGCTCTCTGGTTCCATCTCGGATGTTATGTGGATGGTATAGGCGAGTTTGAGTCTCATTTGGACGATACTCAATTTCTGGTCGGAAGTCGCGCTGATCTAGATGGAATGAGACCAGAATGCCATCCTTCCTATCGTTTCATAGTAGGAGTCTGTCAGAGGTAATTTCAGCTTTCGAGTGTGGAATGGCACCCACCAGTTCTGATACAACTCGCGAAAGGCATCTCTGTTGCTCCAATCCCGAACATAGTTTTTGCTCAGGCAGAAAGCATATGACATGGGTCGAAGGGAGCCATCATCATTTTCTTGTTCGGAATCTTGAGGACTTTGACACCAAACTATCTCGTCTTCTGGATCCATGCTTCTTCGCAGATAATTGTATATGAATGAGAGGAGTTTAGCTTGAGTCTAGAGGGACGACGAGAAGAATATAACGTTTGATCTGATGAGAGAGGTGAGTTCTGGCGGTGTATGAGGAAAATGGAATGTTGTTTCAGCCTGAATTCAGTGATGGATACTAGCGCAGCGCAGCTATGGTCCTGTTAGAGTGAGATCAAGAGTGTGGCCAAGTAGTCAAAATTGTAGAGTCCGCAGTGGTCACAAGAAACTGAGGTAGGGGACGGAGAGAAGATAATGACTTGATGAATAGAGGTCAAGGTGAAGTGGGGGTGAAACATTGCCTGGCAAGAAAAGTGCACAGTCTACGGGCCTTGAGTTTACCCTTCACTTAGCCAGCGGTTCATGACTTGACAAAGAGCAAAGGTCCCTTTCCCCACGGTAGTGCGGAACAATAATTCCCAAATGCTTAGCCAGAATGGTCACTTTTGATTGATTGCTACTTTAATATCTCGAAAGCCCCTCGTCTTTACATTAAGTGTCATGCTCATCATAGGATCTGAGTCGCAAGTGGCGTATGCCCCCCTCTACCCATTCCAACGGTGCAACGAAGACCATTTGACTCCAAGAAAACAAAGTGTTCTTTCCTCCAAAGACAAACACTTCAAACCTGCCAGCGAATGAACCATCGATCCAAACGCGACTTCCACCAACAGCATCCGTCTGGATCGTGATCAGACTTCCCAACGGCACAGTCACCGGTTCATGCGTGGAGGTCGTCTCGTTGACCCATATACGACCAGGGTACGCAGGATCAAATCCATCGGCTTCAGACACAGACCGGAGAGGATATTCCCATCCATCTGAGATGAAGGTTAGTGAACCATCGAATTCAAGCTTGAGCGTTGCATCATCAGAGGAGAGAGTAAAAGGACCCGTCACGTTCAGCTCCAGCGAATAGTTCATCCCTTTACTCCCATATCCCAAGTGAACTTTTGTCGTGTCATTCTCGTTCATTGCATCCCAGCAGACCAGCACTTCTCCATCCCGATCCACATCTCCAGAAAGCCGCCGATCCAGATTCTGCGCCACCGCATTCGCAGTCAGCACGCGTATAGACTCCGATAAGCTCGATATATTTAGCTCCTGCCCACGGTTACCAGCCCATACACGGGATGCGAAGGTTGGAATACCATCACGGAGGGCATAGTATGCCTCCAGCTGCGTCGTCGCGTCAGGGCCATTGTCATTCCAGGCTGCGATGATGGCTCCCTGGACACGCCTCGGATCGGGTTGGTTCGTGAGATTGTATGGGTTGAACAACGGTGGGGTCCATTGCCGGCCGTCGCTCCCCCCGAAATTCAGTAATCTAGTATTATTGAACGATGGCGGATATGGGGCGGGAACGATGGGCATGTGGTCATTTTTCAGGGACATGTATGCCCACCAATCTTCGGAATTGATCAACTCATAGCCATCTCTTGCAAGGCTAACGGGATCTGACTGTCCATACTGCCAGTGCTGAATCATGACATTCTTGGAGATGCTGCGGGTGTTCGATGGTTCGTACGTTCCCCAGATGCGAACTTTCTTGCCGGCAGTCTCATTCATGAAGGCAGCCATCTCATTCACAAAGTCGATGTAATCGTCCGCCAATGCTGAGTCGTACTCATCCGCTCCGATATGGACTTCTTTGGTCTGAAACCACGGCAAGAACTCTGCCCATATCGACTTGATCAGCGGCAGTGTATCCGGGTGCGTCAAATTGAGCAGATCCTTTGGCTCTAACGCCAGCTCCGGCTTCCACTTGGTGATTGACAAAGAATGGCCGGGCGCTTCGATCTCAGGAATGACGGTCACTCCGCGTTGCGCGCAATGATGCTGGAAGTCCTCAAACTCAGCCCGCGACAGCGTCTCATTCGATCTTTGCACCAGCCCCTGCAACTTCGCGCTTTCGGGTCGCAAGGAGAACTGCGAATAAACTTCATACCACGTCTCGTTATGCCCGCGGTTCAACGGGTAATTGTCACTGCTGTGATAGTGGAACTCAGACAGCTTAAAAAACGAGGCATACGTGCACAAGTCCTTGAGGAATCCGGGAGAGTACCATTTCCGGCCCGCATCGAGTAGAACCCCCCGCGTGACCGACGAAGGCGCGTCAAGGGTCCGTCCGGCTGGCACGATCCCCAAGTCGTGAATCAGCAACTGCTGGAGAAATGTTCGCGTTCCCCACCACATCCCTCGAGCACCAGAACCGCGAATGTATGCCCTATCGGCACTGAAGACGAGCTCATAGCCTTCCTCGGTCGGCTCCTTGTTCTCATAAGTCAAGTTGACCTGCTGAACGTCCACACTATCCAGAAATATTCCTGTTTCAGTATCTGGAAACGCGTCTACCGTGTGCAGCACCCACGACGTGTTCGTCACTGCCTGCAGGTCCTGACGGAAGGTCTCTGCAAGTTCCCCAGCGGAGGGAGGAATCAGAGTCAACCCATTGTCGTCCCGACGAGTTGCAAAACTGCTGGTAATGAAGATTTTCTTCTCTACTGCTCTGATGTCAAATCCTTCTCCCGACAATCCACTTGCATTCCACGCGACAGGGGGAAGAACCTGAAGAGCACACGCAACCGCAGCCAGGTAGGAAAAGGCCACAAACTTCATGACGTAAAATCGTAATGGTCAACCATAGCCTCCGCTTTCAAGGGGAGTTTAATGGAAAGGAAATATAGCAGGCTGGTCGACAGTAAACAGTTTTCTGAAGAAATATCTGAAGTGGGGGTTGCACCACGCCCGAGGCGTTGCATTTCGATGCGGGGAATAAACAATGCATCCTACGGGGCTGGCCTATTGTATCACCAGAACGGTCCCCCAAATGCCGATCGTTCATACGCCAAGAGATGAGGAATGTGGTCGCAGTGTACACAACCGTGATGACAGCTGGCCAGACCAGTTTCCAATGCAGCATTGAGCTCCTCTGCTGTCGTTATCAATTTGTCTTCGGGCTGCCCTATACCTGCTAGCTGCGCAGAGGGCCGTAAGTTACAGTGTGCTAGGGTTTGTTTTCGCGTCGGCATCCACCACACCATCCCTTGCGTGGCCCGAACTACTAGCCTCTCATCGGACCCTTCTATTACATCTACCCTTTTTACGTGTCTAGAAAAGCAAGCTCGTGCACAAGTTCCTGGTGGAAGGAATGAAAAAGGCAAAAAGCTAGCTGGGAGATGACGGTCACACGAAGAACAACTCCCCATTCTACTGAAGCCTGCGGTTTAACTCCAAATGGAAAAGACTCTACTCAAATATCTTCTTCAAATGGATAGATTACTCTCTTGGGAAGTATATTCTGGCTAACATATAACTAGGATTCTGTAGATATGCATCTGAATCTTGTTAGGATCGATAAATAGTGCTGTCATCTTCGATGCGGAGTCGGGCTACTGCCCCGGCATCAGGACGGCTACGTCAAATCAATAGTCATTCCGGGAGTGGCGATGGTATTGGGAGCGTATGCAATTGACCCCGGCATCGGGCCGTCTGTTACACTATACTTGGTGCATGCTCCGCCGAATGCCCTATGTGGAGACTCTGAGCTGTGTCTAGGCATCTCTTCACATTTCCAAAGCGGAACAGCATTCGGCATGTTCTTGTGCCTTGGATTATGTTCATTATCACCTGCTTGCACCCTTGAGCTTTGCTGTTTGTTTGTGCAGATATTTGGCCTGTGCCGTTCATATCGAAGGTGTTTCTGACTTCGGACTTGTAGCTCAATACCTTATGGGCCGAGTATCTATGTACAGTAGACCGTGGAGCAGCATGGACCACCAGTAATGCATGGCTAAGAGGTGTACGACTGAATCTGGTGGGCTGAGAGCCGGCAAGATACGCGAAACCCTGACTGGGGTTCTCTGTTGATCCTTCGTTTACATGATGTTTCGGGGTACTCCTTCCTCTTTTGAAAGCAAAAGACTTCATTCCAACTCTGAAGGTTATCTTCCGACCAGATCCCCCCTGTCTCAGTCAGGTCATAACTTGACTTTCGTGACCGAGCCCGATCTAGCAGGCCACGCTCATGCCGCAGGATGTTCATGGTTACCTCGTGTGGACTTAGCGAACAGGGCGCTACTCCTCTGCGCGATCCAAAATGCCACCCTCTTTCCGTGTGGTGAACATTTTGTAAGCGCCCGGATAAGTGATACCCCGCTGTCCAGGAGTTCTGAAGAGGTTTGCTTCATGGGTGGGATGTGCATTTGTACATTGACAAGCTGTATGCGCAGTTCGCACAGTACATGGACGCTGATTGCTGGCCCTCCTCATGGACCACGCACTCTTTTGCACTTGACCACCCTACCGCACCACATCCCGCTGCAGGAATAACTTCGCTTTCCGCCGATGGGTATAATCTGACGTATTGTGGTTGCATTTCATGCTCTATGGAATGGCGCACGACAGGAAGACCCGATAGTATCTGTTCGAACACTGTTGCTTTAGCCGTGGGGTTTATTACCGGTAAGTCTTTGCCACCTGGCATATCCATTGCTTCTCAGGACCCTGTGCTGTAGGGATTCGTACTCGCTCGTACGTCGCTTTATCGTTGCGTGAAGTTCTCTGTACGTAGCTGTATCGATTTGTAGAGGCTTGGCCGTCTGTATGCGAATGTAGGTTTTCTACCCGCAGAGTGAAGGGATTGTTGACGTAGATCTTCTACAGGACGAGTCGCGCGGTTCATCCAACATCGAGCTGGAACAGATGGTGTTTCATCATGTTGTTATTGCCCGCATCATTAATACATTTAAATTACTGGTGATTATCACGGCACAACAAAATCAGCGCGAAGTCCAGATGCAGTTGGTTCATGTTTGGCCGAGGCGGATAACCACTTCTGCGCGGAGATCTCAGGCGACTTTAAGCTGTTCAAAACTGTGGACACTCTTTTTTGTAGCGGACGATGACGGAATATCAGAGACTAAGTCACTCTGTTGCCAAAATATGATACAGGTATGAGGTAGCATTATATTTATCCATCCCGAAACTCGAATCCCCGTACTGGTGTCGCAGCTGAAGGAAACACATTCTTCCACAATCTTTGCTTCCATATCCAGGTCATGAAGGACATAGCAACAAGCTCATCATGTATCAGTGCCGCGGTGTCTCTCCTTTGCAGGGCTCTCGCAATCTCCTTTGCAGGCCAGTCAATATCACGGCTGGTTTCTAAGATGCTGCTCCCTCCGCAAGCGTCAAAGGGCACAATACACCAGTTATCTCTCAATTCTGTAGGCATCTTCCTCACTCTGCCGTCTGTGTTTGTTTCGAACTTGACTGATCTTGAGACGGCGGAGATGATTATTTTGTGTTTAGAGTACCCTCGAAAGCCCGCCAACTCTGTGCTTGCAGCGCCCCCAGTCGTCGAAGCTTTTTGTGCAGTTCCGGAGGGATTCATAGATTCGAACACGAGGGCAGAGTTTGGCATATGAGCAATTTCTTCTTCGGCGCCATAGGGAACGGGCAATGGGCGACTTCCTCTGAGATGCTCTGCGAATGCTCATGTGCTAGCATTGATCCTCCGTGCCCTTGGGCCAATCAGAGGAGGTGAGACCACTATTATGAGAGACGGACATTTCGGTGTATCCTCAACGGCATTGACCGCCCCTTTGGATAAGTTTTTTATGTTTCCGTGGTCTCCATCGTGACAGCTGCCGAGGGTGACCCGTGCATATTGAGAATGAACACAATCGCGTTCCACGGCCCGCCTACTTTATCTGATGCCAATCCCGATGTCGAATTGCGCCCAGCTTAGTAACAGTAGAATACCTGCTAAATCTGGAGGAGGACATTGGAAGAGTCTCATCTGGCTCGAGGTTTCTTTTTGGTTTAGCACGCCCAGATTCTCGAAATCCTCTGGATGGCCATCATCATACTGACTGTCTGACCTATCGAGTCGGCGGTATTGGCAGTCTTGTTGTGGAACTATCTCCTCTTTCTCATAACTTGCTGGAATGGAACATTCTGAGTCGAGTTTTATTGCTTTCGCGGCCTTCGCTTTTGTTTCTCTTTTGGCATCTCGACGAGAACTATTTCTTGCTTAACTTGAGCATTTCGTTGAACTCGGCGAGATTTGTCGAAGACATAGGTTGGCAAATCCGTAGCAGACCATGCTAACCTTGCTCCACTGGACAGACAGGGTGTGTGAGAGCAACATAATGATGAGGACGATGATAACGGCGCGCGATGTAAATACACAGGTCTTACAACCCAATCACGAGCGCGACAATAGCATGGATCCTGGTTACTGCGAGAGAAAGCTCCTGGTGTATTGGCCGGCCAGCAGTGAACTGAAAGCTTGAGCAGCGGCCTTGATAATTCCCAAAAGCCTTAGTGTCCTGGACTGGGGTTGATGCTTTGAGGTTCGCGCTGGACCCTCCGACTAACAGCAAAATTTCATTTGCAGATGGCGGTTGTCTGATGCTGGCTTTTCAGATATGCCTTCTGCTCCTCGTGGGCTGTTCTGGGCATTCTTCGTGTCACAACCTCAGAATGCAAATGACTATGGAACTGAAGACTTTTTGTTTCTTGTGCAATGAGGTTTGCAATTTCAAGTGCAGTAGCTGAGAGATTCCGAGAGGGTAAAGCAGTACAGGGGACGCTGTTCACAATGACTTCGAACACAATCGACACTGAATCCTTGGTAAGAATCTCCGCATCAATGTTCTTGGAGACACGTTTCTCTAGCTTCCAACCTTCGCAAGCGCTCAGTTGATAGTCTCATCAAAAATGGCGCTGTTCTCATCCAAGACGCTGGAGCCAAGCTGAGCTCAGCTGAGCGCAGCTGAGGGCTCATAACCTGTTGATGATATGGAGGATGTCTGTGCGAACTGAAGCTTTAGCCGAAGCGACTCACTTGCAGTGACCACAAACCTTATGGCCAAAGTCAAGTCACCATACTGCGGCAGACAAGTTCCATGCCTGTGCTCGCAAATCTCAGCTTCCAAATTATCACGGTCTTGGCTGCTTTCTGTTTGCGATCTTCTGTTTTGTGCTGTTCGGCGTCGAACCTGGCTCGTTCTCCTTGCTGGGGCTCAGTGTGGGTTAACTTCTGGAAAGCCGAAGGTTCAAGCCACAGGTACCACAGTGGGCTGCAACCAGGCGTGGGCAGATATGGTTGATATTTCTGAGCGCAGGGCTTAGCATCTCCGTGACGAGCATAACATCAGCCGCTTTGTGCCAGTTTAGCAAGTCCGTCAGTGGATAAGGTTATCCCGGGTAAAGAATCAAGTCAGCTCTAGTCACGATGGTTTGTGTCGCAACATGCACAGTGCAGCACGCATGGACGATCATGGCGTCCGGATCCAGACTTTAAACACGATCGTACTGTGTCAGGACAACGCCCGCAGCCTCGAGTCTGCCCATGTCACTGCATCTCTCGTCAATTCTGCTCCACATCTTGATCATGCAACTAGTATACTTACAATCACCGTTCTGCCCGGTCTGCACTTCAAAGGGTATACGCTTAACATGATACTCGGTTTGCGCTCTGAACGGCAGTCTGCGTCCCGCTGAATCGCTCGCCGGGCCATGTTGCAAAGGATGCAGAAGCAGGCTGTCAGCCTGACTGTCTCGACGGGTCAAAGACTCAAGCTGCATCACAGCGCTGCAGATGTACGGCTGGTTGGTCGCATACTGCAAGACGGCGTATTGCGAGAAGTCGACGCCCGTCGTCTACCGCGCTGCGGCATCACTGAGCTCTTCCCTATCCACCTTTGG